ATACATATATACATATACATACATATATACATATACATATATACATACATACATATACATATACATACATATACATATACATACATATACATACATATACATATACATACACATACATATATACATACATATACATACAGTACATACATACAGTACATACAACATACATACAGTACATACAACATACATATACATATATATACATGCATATATATCAGAGAGGTCCTTTTGGCTGGAGACCTCAACATTGATTGGTGTAAGTCGACCCCCCTCTGTGATAAATTCAAGGAATGTTGCCTGTCTCTTAATCTTACCCAACTGATCGACTCTCCCACTAGATTAAATAAAAACCGTCCTGAAAAATCCTCCATCTTAGACCTGTTTCTAACTAATATGCCTCACAAATTCCCTGGTACAGGTGTATTCGCTGATCTTTTGAGTGATCACTGTGTGACAGCGGCTCTCAGAGATATTAAACTTCCACCTTCTAAGCCCAGATTAATTCAAAAAAGGGATTTGAAACGTTTTTGTGAACAGTCATTCCTCTGGGATCTGTCTCACTTTGACTGGCATCGTATTCTGTTAACTGATGACGTGAACTCCGCTTGGAACTATTTCCATAATAATTTCATTTATTTCCTGAACTTACATGCTCCTTTTCGTCAGTTCAGAATAAAGGGACAAGACAGCCCCTGGTTTACTCCAGAGCTAGCTGGCCTTCTGCACAGGAGAGATCATCTTTGGGCCACAGCGAGAAAATCTGGCTCAGACACTGACTGGTTGAGTTTTCGACAGATGAGGAATAAATGTACAACTGCTGTCAAAGCAGCAAAACGAAACTATTTCTTATCTCAGACTTCCAAAAATCTAAATGACCCTAACAGATTCTGGGAAACAATTAAATCTCTCTCAGGCACCCCCAATCATCTGACCTCCCATCACAACTTCTCATTAACTCTGTTCCTGTGTCAAACAAGCACGAGATCCTGAACTGTTTAAACAAACATTTTGTTGCTACTAGTTCTTTATTTGACACAGTTACTAATGGAAGATCAGCCACTTCACTTAATAACCAAACTTCTACAAATCAAATCCCTCCTACAAGTCAATCCTCAGTTAATCACAGCTTCTCTTTTTCTCCATTCTCAGTCAGTGAGGTCAATAAACTGTTAAAAGATCTTGATCCTAAAAAATCTGCAGGTCCAGATGAACTTCCACCTTATTTCTTAAGGCTGGCTGCTCATATCATCACAGTCCCTGTGACCCACATCTTCAATCTCTCCATAAGACAAAACTCCATCCAGACACTTGAAAACAGCCTTTGTTCTTCTTTGCTGAAGGGAGGTGACCCCACCTCACTGAACAACTATGGAGCAATCTCTAAACTCTGCATTTTAGCCAAGGTTCTAGAAAAACTGATAAACTCTCAAATCAAAAATGACCTGGACTCATTTAACATCTTACCTCCACATCAATCTGGTTTCAGGAAACAACACAGCACAACCACTGCTTCACTGAAGGTTCTTAATGATGTTGTTGAAGCTCTGGATGCTAAGGATTATTGTGCTGCACTTTTCTTAGACCTGTCTAAAGATTCTGACACTGTGGATCAGAACATCTTGTGTCATAAACTCTCTGAAACTGGTTTCTCAGATCACACCATTGGTTGGTTCTCTAACTATCTTTCAGACCGGAGGCAATGTGTTCAACATAATGGTACTTCCTCCAGTTATTTAACAGTCAACAATGGTGTACCACAAGGCTCAGTCTTAGGACCCACCCTCTTTACAATCTACATACATAATGTAGGTAAAAACATCCCTAATGCATCCATACATTTCTATGCTGATGACACAGTTGTTTATTGTCGAGCTAAAACTGTTGCTAAACCTTTCCAGCTTTTGAAATCTGCATTCAACATCATCCAGACTGATTTGTTTCACCTCAAACTTGTCCTAAATGCCGACAAAACCAAAGGGATGTTTTTTTCAAATAGGAAGTTGGTCCCAGCAGTTCTTCCTCCTATTTTATCCGCAAATGGTGTCCCCATTGAGTTTGTTGATTCCTATAAATATTTGGGTATCTTGGTCGACTCACATCTCTCTTTAACAGATCCTGTCTAACCCTGAATGTTAGGAAACACCTTGTATCTGTGACTTTCCTTCCCTCCATTGATTATGGTGATATTATTTACATGAACGCTCCTACAAGAACCCTGCAGATGTTGGATGCTGCAGATGTTGGATGCTGCAGATGTTGGATGCTGTCTATCATGGTGCACTAAGATTCATAACTGGCTGTAACCACCGTACCCACCACTGCACCCAGTATTCACTGGTTAACTGGACATCATTAACTTCACGCAGACTCTCTCACTGGTACATGTTCATCTTTAAATCACTTCCTGGTCTGCTGCCTTCATACATCTCCTCCTACATGTCTCTGTGTGAGTGCAGCTACAGCGTGCGCTCTCAGGACATCATTACCTGCAGTGTTCCCTCAATGAGGACTGAACTAGACAAAAGGGCCTTCTCCTACTCCGCTCCTGTTTCCTGGAATATCTTACAAAAAGATTTGAAGCTCTCGACCTTTGACCTCTCTAAGTGTCTTTAAGAATCTGTTGGTCACCTGGCAGGGACCAATGCAGACATGTTCCTGTTTTTAGTTTTCTACATTTGTCTTGGAATCTAGCTGTTTTTT